GTTCCTTAGGCTCATTCCTTCATAATGCCGACACATTTGCTACTTGTTGTTTAGTCCGCGTGGCCTGTGTCGGGGTCCTGGTGCCGCTAGTTGTATGGTGGCTGTTGTCCAGTGGTTCTGTGTGCCGTAGTGTAGTGCCGCTGTTCCTGATAGTCTGCTAGGTGGCTGTGTAGTTGTAGAGCTGGCCTGTTGTAGCTTGTAGGTGGCTGTGTTGTGGGTACTGGCTGCCCTAGTTGTAGGTGCTGGGTTAGTTGTAGCGTGGCTGCTGTCCTGGTTTCTTGGTGTCGCTAGTTTGTAGCGTGGCTGCTGTAAGTTGCTAGCGTGCTGTGTAGCTGGTACTCGGGGTGCTGCGTAGTTGTAGGTGCTGAGTTTTGTTCCAGGTTGGGTGGTGCGCCTGAATAATGCAGCAAAGAGACAAGCAATCATTTGCTCACGCTATTTTTTATTCTACGCGCGAAATAAATTTCTGGCCAGCCATTATCCTATATAACGGTAATACTGCCTAAGGCATTCTCATATGACGTGTATCACATGCTTAACATACGAAACACATATGGGGGGTGGATATTAATTATGTAAGTTGTAAAGGTCCACCGACTCTCGCCTTTACTTCAGCTCAGGAAGCAGCGCATACAAACTCTCATTTGTCATGTTTAGTTGCGAATATGCCCCGTAAGCAACGTCATCGGGTATAATTCGTATGCTGCGCAGACTAATAACCGAAATGAGGAAGCTCGCTGTCTCCCTCAAACGTCCTGGAATACAACGTTCAAATAAACGTTAGATTTCTTAGGCCACATTAGCGCGAAGAAATGAACAATCGTGTCGCTATAAGTTTTGTGTATACCGCTGCATTTTACATAGATTAGACACTGCTACGATTACTATATGCTGCTTTGGTTTTATTTTATAATTACAACGATCGTTGTAGTATAGCAATGTTGAGATTTTGATCAGTTCATCTATTTGATTCGCCCTACACACACCCCGTTGGCAAGCTTGCCTGAGCGTGTGGCAGACACTAAAATTGAAGAACAATAAATGTTGGAGAATATGGCTCTCACGTGTACGCATTTAAAAAAGTCCACGCACCCACAAAAATGTTCGTGAATACGCAATTATTCATATACCATTAGTTAATATCGAGCCCACGTCTTACGAAAACAGTTTTTTTTATAAGAACTCACCGTCCGACATGGGCTTTGGTATGTTTAATTTAGGTCGGCTACTCGTAGAGATCATGTAGCCGTATTCACAGCATCCTGACACGCCAACTTGACTGAGCTCTATAGCTCCCTCGCCGAGAATGATCTGGCAATGGACGTAGCTCGAGGGCACAAACGGGTTATCAATTTGGCGGTGCGTCCATTCCACGTTACTGCGCTTTACACCCGCAGCCCTCTACCACATTGTTATCCCGCTGCCATCAGCTTAATCCTGTAATTCGTTCTGTCCTTGCCCTCATCCCTTCATATGCGACACATCGGTACTTGTGCTTGTAGGTCGCGTGGCTGTGTCGTGGTTCCTGGCTGCCGTTAGTTGTAGGTGGGCCTGTGTCCGTGGTTTTACTGGCCCTGCCTGTAGTTGTAGCGTGGCTGTGTTGTGGTTTTCTGGTTGCCGTAGTTGTAGGTGGCTGTAGATTAGTTGTAGGTGGCTGTGTTGTGCGGTACTGGTGCCGTAGTTGTTACGGTGGCTGTGTAGTTGTAGTTTTTTGGCTGGTGTAGTTGTTAAGGTGGCTGTGTAGCTATGTAGTGGATGTTGTCCTGGTTTTGGCCTGTCGTAGTTGCTAGGTGGCTGCTGTAGTTGTCAGGTGGCTGTGTAGTTGTCTAGCGTGGACTGCGTAGTTGTAGGTGGCCTGATGTTGTTGTTCCAGGTTGGGTGGTGCTGAATAATGGCAAAGAGTCAACAAGAATCATTGTCACGCCCCCCCCTCCCCCCCCCTATTTTCCTTTTCTACCCGGAAGTAATTTCTGCCAGCATTATCCTTTATAACGGTAATACTGCCTAAGGCATTCTCATATGACGCTTATCACATGTTAACATACGAAACACATATGGGTTTAGGATATTAATTATGTGAGCTTCTAAAGAGTCCAACCGACTCTCGCTCTACCTTCAGCTTAGGAAGCAGGCCCATACAACTTCTAATTGTCATGCTTTAGTGCGATTGCCGGAAGCAACGTCATCGCCGGTATATCGTATTGCTGCGGGACTATACCGAATTGAGGCTAATGTCGGCCGCTTCTCTCTCAAACGTCTGCGATACAAGCTTCAAAATAACGTCAGATTTCTTCAGGCCACATAGCGCCGAAGAACATGAACAATCTGGTCGCCTATAGTTTTGGTATAACCGTGCATTTACAGCTAGATTTAGACACGTATACGATACTATTATGTGTTTTGGCTTTATATTATAATTACAACGATCGTTGTTATCGCGCAATTGAGCATTTTGGGAATTCAGTTCATCTATTGATTTGCTACAATGAGGCTTGAAGCTTCTTGAGGTGAGGAGACATTGAAATTTGATTCTTAAGAACAATAAATGTTGGAGAATATGTCCACGTGTACGCATATGTAAAAAGTCCACCCAACCCCACAAAAATGTTTCCGCTGAATACGCCAATTATTCAATATACCATAGTAATATCGACCCACGTCTTACGAAAAGCGTTTTTTTATAAGAAACTCACCGTCGTAATGGGTTGCCGCTAGTAATTACGGTCGGTACTCGCTAGAGCATCATGTAAGGTATCACAGATCTGACACGCCAACTTGGACTGACACTCTATAGCTCCCTCGCTGAGAATTGATCTGGAATATGTACGTAGCTCGAAGCCCACAAATCGGGTTATCATGTTTGGCGCGCCGTCCATTCCACTTACTGCGTTTAACACGCCAGCCCCTCTGACCCATGTTATCGCCTGATCAGTTCATCGTTTAATCGTCTGTCCTTTGGCTCATTCCTTCATACTTGCGACACATGCGTACTCCTTGTGTTGTATTCGGTGCGCCTGCTGTCGTGGTGCTGTGTGCCCGTAGTTGTAGCGCTGGCTGTGTCGTGGGTTCCTGGTGCCGTTGCTTGTAGGTGGCCTGTGTAGTTGTAGGTGAGCGTGTATGCTTAGGTAGGCTGGGCCCCTGTGTTGTGGGTTACTGGTGCCGTAGTTGTAGGTGGCTGTGTAGCTTGTAGGCTGCGCTGCGGTGTCCTGGTTTTCTCGTGTTCGCTAGTGTTAGCGGCTGATGTAGTTGTAGGTGGCCTGTGTAGTTGTAGGCTGCCTGCGTAGTTGTAGGTGGCCTGAGTTGTTGTCCAGGTGGGTGCGTTGCCTGAATAATGCGCAAAGAGCAAGAATCATTGTCACGCCTATTTTCTTTCTACGCGGATAGCTAAATTTCTGCCCAGCATTATCCTTATACACGGAATACTGACTAAGCGGCATTCTCATATGACGTTATCACATGTTAACATACAAACACATATGGCGTTTGGCATATTAATTAGGTTGCAGTTGTAAAGGCCACCGACCTCTCGCTTACCTTCAGCTAGGAAGCAGGCATACAACTCTATTGTCATGTTTAGTTGCCGCATTGCCCCGGCAAGCACGTCATCCGGCGTATATTCGTAATTGCCTTGCGCGGCGCACTTAATACCGCAATTGAGGAATGTCGCACCGTCTCCCTCAAACGCTCTGGATACAGTTCAAATAACCGTCAGATTTCTTTAGGCCACATTAGCTGCGAAGAAATGAACAAGCTGTCGCTATAGTTTTGTGGTATAACCGTGCATTTTACAAGTAGATTAGACACGCTTACGATACTATATGGTTTTGGTTTATTTTAATAATTACAACATCTTGTATGGCCAATTGAGATTTGCGAATATTCAGTTCATACTATTGATTCGCTACAAGACCAAGGTTGAAGCTTGTGAGGCCCTCCACCGCCTGGGAAGCACATGAAATTGAAAAAGAACAATAAATGTGGAAAAATATGCTCACGTGTACGATTTAAAAAGTCACGCAACCCACAAAAAAGTTCCGTGAATACGCAATAGTCATATTACCACTAGTAATATTCGACCCACGTCTTACGAAAATGCGCTTTTTTTTATAGAAACTCACCTCGTTTAAATGGCGTGGCTAGTTAATTAGCCGTCACGGTACTCGTAGAGATCATGTAGCGTATTCACAGCATACCTGACACGCCACTTGACTGAGCCCTCTATAGCTCCCTCGCCGAGCACCTCATCTGGCACTTACGAGTCGACAGGCACAACACGCGAGGTAGCCCGGGTCAGCGGACCTGTTATCATTTGGCGGCGTCCATCACGTTACTGCGTTTTAACACCCGCAGCCCCCCTACCCATGTTATTCCGTGATTAGTCATCTTTAATCGTCTGTCCTTGGCTCATCCCTCATCATCCCGAACCACTTGGTACTTGCTGTTTGTAGTCGGTGGCTGTGTCGTGCGCCTTCCTGAGCTAGCCGTAGTTTGTAGGTGGCTGCATTCGTCGGTTCCTGGTGCCGTAGTTGTAGAGTGGCCCTGTGTAGTTCAGTAGGTGCGCTGTGTAGTGGTAGAGTGCGCTGTGTAGTGTAAGTGCTGGACTGTTGTAGTTCGTAGGTGGCCTGTAGCTAGTTGTAGGTGCGCTGTGTTGTTACTGGTTGCCGTAGTTGTAGGTGGCTGTGTAGCTTGTAGGTGGCTCGTGTAGTTGTAGGTTGGCTGTGTACTTGTAGTGGCTGTGTTCCCTGCCCGTTTCTGCGTGTCGTAGTGCTATGCGTGGCCTGTGTAGTTTGTAGGTAGATGTTAGTTGCTAGGTGCTGCCCGTACGTTGTAGGTGGCTGAGTTCGTTGTTCCAGGTTGCGGTGGTGGCTGAATAATGGCAAAGAGAAGAATTCATTGTCACGCCTATTTTCTTTCTTACGCGCGAATGTAAATTTCTGCCCAGCATTATCCTATATAACGGGACTCAATACTGCCTAAGCATTCTCAAAATATGACGTTATCACATGTTACAACATACGAAAACACATATGGGTTGGATATTAATTATGTGAGTTGTAAAGGCTCCACCGACTCTCGCTTACCTTCAGTTAGAAGCAGGCAATACAATTTTTATTGTCTAGTTTAGTTTGGCGATTGCCCCCGGAAGCCAACGTCATCGGGATATATTCGTATGCTGCGGACTATATACCGAATTGTCAGCGAATGTCGCTCTCCCTCAAAACGTCTGATACAAGTTCAAAATAACGTCAGACAGGATTTCTTGTGTAGGCACATACCCCTCGCGAAAAACATGAACAATCTGCTACGCTAGTTAGTTTTGTGTTATAACGTGCATTTACAGTAGATTAGACACGTTACAGCATACTATATGTTGTTTGGTTTATATTATAATTACAACGATCGTTGGTATGGCAATTGAGATTTTTGGAATTCAGTTCATCTATTGATTCGCTTACAACGAGGCTTGAAAGCTTAGTGCAGCCGTGGGAGACATGAATTGAAGAACAATAAATTTGGAGAATACTGTTCACGTGTACGATTTAAAAAGTCCACGCAACCCACAAAATTTTCGTGATTACGCTCAATTATTCATATACCATGAGTATATCGACCCAGTCTTACGATAAGCGCTTTTTTGTATAAGAACTCACCGTCGTAATGGCGTTGCGTAGTTAATTAGGTCGCGTACTCGTAGAGATCATGTATGCGTCTTCACAGATCCTTGACACGCCAACCATTGACTGAGCTCTATAAGCCTCCCTCCGCCGGCAGAAATTGATCCTGGATGTACGTAGTCAAGCGGCTCAACGCGTTATCATTTTGGCGGCCGTTCCATCCACCCGTTACTGGCGTTTAAACACCCGCCCAGCGCCCCTCTACCCATGTTATCCTGATTCAGTTCTCTTTTAATCGTCTGTCCTTGGCTCATTCCTCCGTCATATGCCGGACACATGCGTACTTGTGTTGCTAGTCGGTGGTCTGTTTTTTTTTTGCTTTTTTATGTTGATAGGTGGCCTGATGTCGTGCTTTCTGGTGCCGTAGTTGTAGCGTGGCTGTTGTCGTGCGTGTCCTGCGTGCCGTAGTTGTAGGTGGCCTGTGTATGTAGGCTGGCTGTGTAGTTGTAGGTGCGCTGCTGTTGTGGGGGGAGGGGTACTGGTGCCGTAGTTGTTTAGTAGGCTGTGTCAGTTGTAGGTGGCTGTATGCTAGCTTGTAGGCCGGCCCTGGTGTAGTGCTAGGCGGCTGCCTGTAGTCTTAGCGTGGATTGAGTTCGTTGTTCCTGCCTGTTAGAGGTGGTGGCACTGAATAATGGCCCAAAGAGAAGAATCATTTCACGCTATTTTCTTTCTACGCGGAAGTAAATTGCTGCCAGCATTAGATCCTTCAGAACGGTAAAAAAAAAAAAAAAAAAAAAAAAAAAAAAAAAAAAAAAAAAAAAAATAAAAAAAAAAAAAAAAAAAAAAAAAAAAAAAAAAAAAAAAAAAAAAAAACAAAAATAAAAAATAAAATTTACTGCACCCAAGGCATTCTCAGTATAACGCTTATCACTATGTTAAGATACGAAACACATATGCGGTTGCCATATCCTAATTATGTGCAGTTTTAAAAGGCCTCCATCGCGCCTATCGCTTACACTTCACCTGCCGAAAACAGGCCATACAACTCTATTGTCATGTTTTAGTTTGCGATTGCCGGCCGAAACAACGTCATGGGTATATCGTATGCTGCGGACTAATACCGAATGAGAAACTGTCGCGTCTCCCTCAAACGTCTGCGAATACAAGTATCAAATAATGTCAGCTTTTTCTTAGGGCCACACTTAGCGCGAAGAAATGAACAATCCTGCTTCGCATATAGTTTTGTGATACAACTGCTGCATTTACAGAGATTAGACACGTTACGAAGTATATGTGTTTGGTTTTATATTATAATTATACGATCTTGCGTATGGCAAATTGAGATTTTGCGAATTTCGTTCATCTATTGATTCGCTACAAGAGTTGAAAGCTTTGCTGAGGTGGGAGACATGAAAATTGAAGAACAATAAATGTTGGAGATATGCTCACGCTGGTACGATTTAAAAGTCCACTCGCCAACCACAAAAATGTTCGTGCATTACGAATTATTCATATACCATAGTAATATCGACCCACGTCTTACGAAAGCGTTTTTTTATAAGAACCACCGTCGAAATGGTTTTGGTAGATTAATTAGGTCGGCTACTCGTAGAGATCATGTAGTTTCTTCACAGATCCTGACACGCCAACCTTGACTGAGCTCTATAGCCTCCTCCGAGAATGATCTGGATAGTACGCTAGTACAAGGCGCCTCAAACGGCGGTATCATTGGCCGGCCGTCCATCCACCGGCTTACTGCCCGTTTTAACACCGCAGCCCTTCTACCCATGTTATCGTGATCAATGTTTCATCTTTAATCGCTCTGTCCTTGGCTCATTTCCTTCATATGCGACACATGGCTACTTGTGTTTGTAGTCGGTGGGCTGTGTAGTATAGCAGCCCGTGGCTGTAGTAGTTGTAGGTGGCTGCCTGTAGTTTAGGTGGCTGTTTTGTTGCTAGCGTGCGCCTGCCTGTACGTGTAGGTGGCCCTGTATAGTTGTAGGTGGCTTGGCTGTAGTTGTAGTGGCGTGTAGCTGTAGGTTGGCTGATGTAGTTGTAGTGTGGCTGCTTTATAGTTGTAGGTGGCTGTGTTGTGGCTCCTGGTTGGGTGGTGACTGAAAAGTTGTGGTAATGAGATCTGTTATATCGCCATTCCATGCAACGCCGATGCGAATTGCTGTCAGCACTATTTATTAATGTGCTTATCACATAATAGCAGAAAGAATAAATACTAGAGTGGAAGGCGTTCTTCCACATTTCGCTTACCTGCAGCTTCGAAACAGGCATATAACTCTATCGTTACGTTCAGCTCCATTTCCCCTGTGAGCAGCGTCAACGGATATATTCTAATGCTTCGTGCTAGCTCCGGTACAAGAAATTTCGCGTGTCCCTCGAACGCCTGAGACAAATATTCATATAGTCAAATATAGTCCACTATAATATAATATAATATAATATATAAATATATAAAATATATAAGAATACTATATAATATATATAATATATAATATATATGAATATATATATATATATATAATATATTAATATATAATAATATATATACAAAAATAATACAAAAATAATATTAATATGAACGATTTGATACGATACGATACGATTCGATTACCACAGATACGATACGATACGATACGATACGATTACCACAGATACGATACGATACCATACGATATTACGATACGATACGATACGCATACCCCGATACATACGATACGATACGATGACGCATACGATACGATTACGATACGATAACGATACGATACGATACGATACGATACGATACGATACGATACGATACGATACGCACAACGCATACGCGACACGCATACGCCGACACGATACGCGAACAGCGATACGCCCGAACACGAGTACGCGACACGATACGCGACACGATACGCCGACACGATACGCCGGACACGATACGCCGAACGACACGGCACACGGACACGCGACACACACGCCGACACGACACGCGACACGACACGCGGACACGAGACACGCGACACGACACGCGACACGGGGACACGCGACACGACACGCCGACACGACTACGCGACACGACACGCGACACGACACGCGACACGACACGCGACACGACACGCGACAAGACACGCGACACGACGACGCCGACACGACACGACACACGACACACGACACACGGCACACGGCACACGGCACACGCGGCACTCGACACACGACACACGCACACACGACACACGCGACACACGACACACGACACACGACACACGACACACGACACACGACACACGACACACGACACACGACACACGACACACGACACACGACACACGACACACGACACACGACACACGCCACACACGACACACGGACACACGACACACGACACACGACACACGACCACGACACACGACACACGACACACGACACACGCAAACGCGACACACGAAACAAGACACACGACACATGACACACGACACACGACACACGACACACGACACACGACACACGACACACGCACACACGACACCACGACACACGACACACGACACACAACACACGACACACGACACACGACACTATACACACACGACACACGACACACGACACACGACACACGACACACGACACACGACACACGACCACACGACACACGACACACGACACACGACACTACGACAACACGCACACACGGACACACGACACACGACACACGACACACGAACACACGACACACGACACACGACACACGACCACACGACACACGACACACGACACACGACACACGACACACGCGACACACGACACACGGACACACCGACACATCGACACACGACACACGACACACGACACACGACACACGCACACACGACACACGATCACACGAATACACGCACACACGACACACGACACACGACAACACGACACACGACACACGACAACACGACACAACGACCACACGACACACGACACACGACACTACGACACACGACACACGACACACGACACACGACACACGACACACGACACACGACACACGACCACACGACACACGACACACGACACACGACACACGACACACGACACACGACACACGACACATACACGATACACGATACACGATACACGATATTAATATAATATAATTATAATATTAATATAATATATATAATATAATAATAACCTCTATTGTATCGGCACATATATTGGCCATCTGCAATCGCCGGGGCGTTGGGGATCCTCGACCAGGAGGCCGCCCCGTTGTGTGTGTGTGTGTGTGCGTGTGTGTGTGTGTGTGTGTGCGTGTGTGTACGTGTGTACGTGTGTGTGTCATCTAAGCTGTTTCTATATTTTTCACATTTGCCACTTGCTTTGCAGTTGATTGAAAATAATAAGAAATATGAAATATCTCTGATAAAAAAGAGTAATAATCTCGTCATCTTCGCAAGTTCTCTGTATGTTGATAACTCACCATAGAGAGGTTATGGTAGAAAATTAGGTCGGTACTCAAGGAGATCATGTAGCTCTCCACGGATCCTGCCACGCGCACTTCACTGAGATCTATAGCTCCCTCACCGAGAATGATCTGGATGTACGTAGTCGAAGGCACAAACGGGTTATCATTTGGCGGCGTCCATCCACCGTTACTGGGTTTAACATCCGCAGCACTTCTACCCATGTTATCCGTGATCTGCTCATCTTTAACCGTCTGTCCTTGGCTCATTCCTTCATACGCGACACACTGTTCTTGTGTTGTAGTCGGTGGCTGTGTAGTTGTAGGTGGCTGTGTAGTTGCAGGTGGCTGTGTAGTTGTAGGCGACTGTGTAGTTGTAGGCAGCTGTGTAGTTGTAGGTGGCTGTGTAGTTGTAGGTGGCTGTGTAGTTGTAGGTGGCTGTGTTGTGGTTCCTGGTGCCGTAGTTGTAGGTGGCTGTGTAGTTGTAGGTGGCTGTGTAGTTGTAGGTGGCTGTGTAGTTGTAGGTGGCTGTGTCAATGCTGATTTTATGCAAAGAGAGAAGAACATACCGCCTATTAATATTATCGTTTGATTCAGATCTCGTTGAGATTGCACAGCCGTCTGTTGTGTGGGCGTATTATTCGTTTCATCGTATTTGGAGATGCTACTGCACCCTATTTTAATGCACGCGTAACACTTTATTACAGTGAACTCAAATTGGTTAGGATTCACTCGATCATATTTTGATATATACCGTTGCACGTAATATAAACCTGTAGCCACAATTCACGCCAAACTACTACACGTGAAAAGTACACGCCTAAACCAGTCGTGCGCCACAAATCATGGCGGACAAACAACATCCACCTCACAGCGGACAAACAACGACCACCATAGATTGGAGAAGTTTGACTCACGAGGCTACCATACATCTGAGTAAATAACCAAATTAAGTTGATGTCGGCGAAATATAAATTGATAAAATGCGAAATTAAACCGATATAATTATAATCGATATAAAATCGAATCGGAAACATTATAAATTCACGGCGTCTCCGTAGCAGGCTCGTCAAATCTATGTGGGGCGGATTAGTAACCGGTGCACGCGCCAGTGTCCATTTCACACATTTCTGTGATTTATACCACCGATCTACTTGTAATCTGATTCGTATACTCACACACGCAATCTTCTTCATCGCTGCCATCCGCACAGTCGTTTACGTTGTCGCACCTGTTGGTGTTGTCAACGCATGTTCCGTTACCACATGTGAATTGTCCCAGCGAGCACGGACCTGATAAAGACAATCGGGGTTCTCTAGATAAAAACAATATCGGCACACGTCGATGGCGTGGCCAGACGACAGAATTATGCGCCATACAGGCATACTGCCATCACATCCGCGCACTTCGTCATCGGTTGTCTTTCTGTATCGTATATATAGCGTCCTCAGAAAACAGCTTGCGTTAATATCTATCGTAGCATTTATCCTTGCTAACGTATACGCAGTCTTTGCTAACGTATACGCAGTCTTTGCTAACGTATACGCAGTCTTTGCTAACGTATACGCAGTCTTTGCTAACGTATACGCAGTCTTTGCTAACGTATACGCAGTCTTTGCTAACGTATACGCAGTCTTTGCTAACGTATACGCAGTCTTTGCAAACGTATAAGCAGCCTTTATCATTGCTTCAGCAATACGTTGCTAAGATTTTGTCGTAATTTCACAACAGCTATATCTGATATATAGATATGCTGATCGAAATATTCGTTGCACCACACGCTGAAACAAGCGGGAGGCAGTAACATCGTACATATATGTAAATGTATCGTCGTTCGAAATGATCGCGTTGAGGGTCATTCTATTAATATGTTAACGAGGTAAACGATGGATATAAATAATAACAACAAAGTAGTTGGTATTAGTAAAGAGTGAAGAGATAGTAGGTACCAGTCTAACATGCCTTGTACTTACAATCGTCCTCATCCGTATCGCAATCTGAGAATCCATCGCATACATCCCACAGACTTATACACGTGCAATCACCACACGTGAACTGAGAGGATGGGCAGACGCACCCTGAAAGTACGCACGCGCAGAATGTCATCACTGCACGAACTATCTGTGGATATAATGACGTCACGCACTCGCGAAGCATGACAAGGCCACGTGGTACGGCCAGGGCCTCAGGACGCATGCGCATTCACATGGCGGCGAGAACGCGAATGTAGTAACGCCACCGAGCGCACTATACTTGAGAATCATCAGTCTAATTTTCACAGATAACATTGCAGGTAAATTCAACATCATAACTAGTAGCTATTCATACACGGCGAGCGTAGAATCATGTAGTCGTGTGAATTATGACCGAATGTGTACGCCATGTACGTATATTTGCAATTGCGCAAATTATGTAGTAGCCTAATGCTTTTATAGTAATTTATTTATTTATTTATTTACTTATTTAGGTATTTATTTATTTATTTATTTAGTTAGTTAGTTAGTTAGTTATTTATTTAGTTAGTAAGTTAGTTAGTTATATATTTATTTATGTATTTATGTATTTATTATTTTTGATTTATTTAACACAATATGTGACATGATTACAGCATTAAATTCATGGACCTTTAACAATGCGTTGGTGGGATACTAGTATGAACAATATTGTTGTAGTAGTAGTAGGAATACTAATAGTATTAATAGAAGTACTGATGATTCTAATTACCATGGCAATCCGACTCGTCTGACATATCTCCACAGTCATCATGGCCGTCGCAAACACGAGAGAGTGGAATGCAGAATCCCCTTCCTCCACAGTCATATTCACGTACATCATCGCACTCCCCTGAACGTGACGAGATCGATTATTTACATTATTAAATTCATAATAACTATTTATCTTTATTATTATTAATATTATTATTATTATTATTATTATTTAGGAAGTTATTAATTGTCTAGGACGCTCTAATGCGTTTACGTAGCAGCGTGTCTAGATTACACGTCAGTTATTAAACAGAGCAGGTCAATTCGCCACGCAAAAAAAGATTTATTATTCTGTCTATTTATCGGTCTGTCTGCCGGTTCGTTCGCCAATCCGTACGTTCGCCCATCTGTCTATCCGTGCGTTCGCCCATCTGTCTATCCGGCTGTCTATCTCAGCGTCTACCTCAGCGTCTATCTCAGCGTCTATTTATCCGAACTCGTGTTTTGAATTCGCCTGGTGTAATAACTTTCAAGCAATGCCGATATGTACAAGATTCGCGAGCACTGGTAAGATTACATACCGCAGTTTTCCTCGTCGCTCTCGTCAGTGGTCCCACAGTCATATTCACCGTCGCACACGTAGCTAAGAGGAATACAGATTCCACTAGCGCACGTATACTCTTCTGAGGTGCAGGAAGGTGGCGCTGCGAGCAAAAATAGGTTTATTTAAATACTTCGTAATAGTATAAAAAAAATTATTTCCACGTCGCTGTAAGGTTCCTTTTCGTCAAATTCTATTCAAATAATTCGTAATAGTATTAAAAAAATCCTTTCTAATCTGCCCGGTAACCTCGTGACTGTTACTAATAATAGCGGTCACAATTATTATCGCTATCAGAATAATAACTGGAATAGGCCTACTAGTACTAGCCTAATCATACTCCTAATACTAATCCTAGTTTATCTTACCTTTATTTGTCATGTTAATCATATGATTATATGATTATCCATTCTTTATTCATTATCTCATTCATCATGATCATATTCATAATTATAATCGTATTCGTGTTAAATATAATTAACTTCTTAATCACGCAAAATTGTCGTCTTTTTAGTGTAATTTTCGTTACGTAGATGAGTCATGTACAGAGTGCGTATAGTTGTTATACTTACGACAGCTATATTCATCGGTACTATCCCAGCAGTCTGGTATGCCGTCACAGTGTTTAGTTGCGTTAATACATTCCCCGTTAGCGCATTGATATTGATCTGGTGAACAGGTCTTTTCAGCTAAAATGCAATAAATCATTTTGTTTCAATAATAACTATAATCTATAATAGCTAATAAATCTATTCAGTAAATCACCATCTCTTTCACTCGTACGCGAGTGCGTGTGTGCGTGTGTGTGAGTGCGTGCGTGCGTGTGTGCGTGTGTGTGAGCGTGCGTGCGTGAGTGCGTGCGTGCGTGCGTGCGTGCGTGCGTGCGCGCTTGTTAAGAGGTGAATATTGGTGTAGATGCGTGTATGTAAAACGCATTCTCGATATTATCTTCTCGCCTGCCATCTCAGTACGTATCGTGCTCATCGCGCAAACTCAACTTTGACATCCCACGTAGAAACGCCAACAATGACTGTCAAACAAGATGGCGTTCTATATTACCATCTATTAAATAACATCAAATACAAGCTAAAAACTTTAAAACTTTATATAATATTAGGAACAACGACTGTATATTAGTGTCTTGCATTATTAATTATAGCTTTATTCCGAAATAAAAATGTGCTGTTTCATTTCTCGAGTTTTGTGGTTTGCATCTATGACGATCTGTTGGCTTACCGCAGCCAGCTTCATCGGATCCGTCGCCACAATCATCTGCACCGTCGCATTGCCAGCCGGCAGGAATACACCTCTTGTTATCACAGGAAATCTCCCAGGTGGCGCAAGTGTACTCCGGTATGCAGTCAGCGTCTAGTACTGTGCAGTTGAAGCG